GTACCATAACACTCTGTGTCATCCTGTGTCCTATTATTATTCTTCAGCTTGCATTTGCTGCCTACTTCTTCACATTTACTACAATCTGGTTGGGACCAACTCAAATGAACATCCCCTGTCTGGTAATACAACATTTCTTCGTATACCGCTGTCTCGGATATGTTGAGTAACGTTCTCCTGCAGCTTAACAAGTTAAAACCATGTGTATAATTGGAAGGAAAAGCTAGAACTTGGAAGCCTGGAACGCTTAAGCAAGGAATCTCGTAAAATTCATAATTGATACCCACAGTTGCTTCCCTTGAACAGTTGAAAAGACTGTACTTTTTTTTTGGTGGAAGAAAAGACTGTACTTTGACTCCGCATAATTGAACGAGAAGGGAGTTTGTCTCAAGTACTGAAAGGGAGATGCTGATAAATTGAGATTGGGAAGTTGCAGGGGAAGGCAACCCTGAGGATCATATAACTGAATCCTCTTTGCTTTGTAATCTATACGCTTCACGAACAACTTTACATTCTATGGCAACTCGAGCACAGTCTGCTTGTCTTCGCAGGAGAGTTCAAACCCATGATAGCCCCAGTGTTCCGGTTGTTGTCCCGTTAGCCAGAACGGGAACCGAATGGTATGGTGGTTGCACTTTTGGTTCGGCATTCATCTTTGGCATCTTGGAGCTCTGCAAGCTTCACTACAAAGAGAAAGCAGAAGAGAAAAACAGCGTTCTTGAAGAAGCTTTCCATCTCTGAAAAATTGAATCCATATCCAATGGGGTTTGGGTTTGGGATACATAATACCAAAAATGAGAAAGGAGAAGATGTTCAAGTTGAGAAATTTTGACGAGAACTTATTTTGACTTTTCAAAGGTGGACGCTCCTTTACCGTATTTCTTTATTGTCTTTCTTTGAAGTTTAATTTTGTACTCTCTATGTTTTTGTTTTTTAAATGTTGGGTGAGACTCAAACTCACACCACCAAATTTACAGGAGAAGTCCCTTACAAAGGGATTAAGCCAGTAGGACATTCTTAATCCATGATACGTTATGAATTATGGAAAAGTATTGTGTAGTCTTACATGATACAAACTACACAACTATAACTACTAATAGAAGAAGGCCATTAAATATGGGACATTTCTCTTATAAAATCAATGATTAATTTGTTATATTCTACCTTAAGTCGAACTATAAAAATTGCATTGTCTATGAATTATGTTATAGAGGTACCTCCACTTCTATGATTTCTTGATCAAGGTTCAAATATGTTTTTAGCCCTTCTTTGAATTGCTTGCCAATTGACCTCAATTAAAGATTAATCATTCAATTGAAATCCTCTCATAAGCTTAGGGACTAAATTTGACATTCTTCACCCATTATTTTTTAAAAGACACCTTCCGTTTCGTCGGGTCCCAGCACAGAAGCCTCGTCCGATTCTATGATTAGAGAATGCCAAATATAGAAATATTGATAGAGTTTTAAAATTGGGAATCAGGAGCCATTTTTGACTCCACAAGTTTAGATTAGACTGCAACTTGATGGAAAGTATTTTCAATCTTCCATTGAGAATAGTGGATTTTTTTAACTTATGGGATGCAGGAGTCATGTTCCAGCAACTTGAATGCTTTCTATATATGTTCATCCTAACAGTTGAGGAAGAATGCATTGAAGGTGTTTGCTTTATTGCCTCCGAGAATTGCCCACCTTGAATTGAAGTGCTAATTGCTATCCGTATAAAGAATTTTTTTTTTTTTTTTATCATTAGTTTTCTCTCCTGCTCAAACTTTAGGATGTTAAGAGCAAAACTTGAAGTACTTTTCAGCCTCATGGTCCTTGCTTTCTCTTTCTTTCCTGATGCTTGTATGGCTAGAGCTAAATACAAGCCTTGCCTCCCTTTTTCTTCTTGTGAAAACCTCAGTATTACATACCCTTTTCGATTAAATAGTGATCCTGTTGAGTGTGTTGAGCCAGGGTATGAACTAGTATGCGATAATGATTGCACAACTTTGGTCACAAAAGATGGGAAATTCTTTGTTGAGAACATCACAAACTCTAGTGTTCGACTGGTTGATGCCAGTCTTCAGAGGGATATCTGCTCCACTCCTCATAGCTCCCTTCTTCTTGAAGGCGCTTGTTGGAAAATGCTTCTTTCTAACTATCTTGTGTATGTTTTAAATTGCAATATACAGATGAATTCATCACTCTATGTTGATGCCTCTGTTGTACCAATAG